GCTGATGAACCTGAATTAGAACATTGATTACTATTTAGTTGAACATTCTCTTTAATAAATAAAAACCACCCAACCCTCTCTTCACAATAAGTTCCAGCTCATGTTATCTAGCCCCATTCTTTATTTTAGTTATAAAACGACATACAATCTTTTTTTTGAAACGTAGTTGCAATATAATTACTTTTCGTCTGAAACAAAATAAAATGACCAAAAACATTGAAAATATTTTCCGAAATGGATAAATAACGATTTAATATGATTTTAATATACTCATTATGTGCTGTCTGAAGTAATAGGAGAGAAATATAGAAATATAATTTTCCACAAATATTTATTATTTTCACAAACAAAAATTTATTAAAATCCTTTATTTGTCCGCTTTACGCTTAAATATTAAAAAGATCGTTTATGGGGTCGGGTAGAGGGGCAATTTTTTTTCAAGATAATCTTGAATGACAAAAATAAAAATTAACTTTCAAGTTTGAGCTCCTTCATGTTTTCTCAACTCTAAACAAATCTCAAAATCTTTTTAAAAATTTTGAATTTAATTTCGGGTTTAAAATATGAGGTGTGCTAGACTTGAGGAAAAAAATAGAAATTTTAATATTTTATAAATATTTCATAAGACATATCTGTATCTGTTAAACGAAAATTTTAAGAATCCGAACAATTTTAAAAATATCACAGTACTAAAAAATTGAAAGTTTGGAATGGCATTCCTTGTCTTTATTTTTGTCCTAATAGAATATAATATGAGTTGGAACTAGAATATACATGATGGGGGCTAGATAATATGAGCTGGAACTAGAATATAAAGGATGGGGGCTAGATAATATGAGCTGGAACTAGAATATACATGATGACGGCTAGATAATATTAGCTGGAACTAGAATATACAAGATGGGGGCTAGATAATATGAGCTGGAACTAGAATATAAAGGATGGGGGCTAGATAATATGAGCTGGAACTAGAATATACATGATGGGGGCTAGATAATATTAGCTGGAACTAGAATATAAAGGATGGGGGCTAGATAANACTTTTGGAGTTATTAAGGTTTGAAGTTGAGGAGCTAGACCATATGGAAGCTTAAGCTTCCATATAGCCTAGCTCCTCAACTTTGATCTTTAATAACTCAAAAAGTATTTGACCTACAGCTCTAAAATTTTAGTTCATACATTTTGGAGTATTTCAAATTCAAACTTCAAATTTTGTACTGTTATACATATATGTACATTATGAATTTCAGTTTTCAAATTTGGAGCCCATAACCTTATGAACCATGAGAGCTAGTGACTTGAATTTTTTTTCAGTCATGTTCTATACTTTGAGAGATTCCCCAAGAAATTTGAGCCTTATCAATTAAATATGTAGTAATCCATCTTAGATTTGAAATTGTCAAAAAAAATTTAAGATTTTGTAAAAAAAACTAAGCAAACCCATTAATAAATAAAGAAGTGGGTGTGGCCATAGTGCTCCGCCCTGTTTTCAGTTATGTAGGTAGAATTCTATTTCAAGTATGAAATCTTAAAAAAAAATTGAGGATTTTGCAAAAAAAAGGAAGAAAATTGATTAATAAATGAAAAAGTGGGCATGGCCATAGTGCTCCGCCTACTTTTTTAGTTATGTATGTAGATACCTGATTCAAGTATGAAATCTAAAAAAAAAAATTGAAGATTTTGCAAAAAAATAAAAAAGTGGGTGTGGCCATAGTGCTACACCCACATTATCAATTAAGTATGTAGAAATGAATCTTAGGTTTGAAATTGTTAAAAAAATTGAATATTTTGCAAAAAAAATGAAGCAAATCCATTAAAAAATAAAGAAGTGGGTGTGGTCATACTGCTCCGCCCACTTTTTTAGTTATGTTTGGAGATACCTGATTCAAGTATGAAATCTTCAAAAAAAATGAAGATTTTGTAAAAAAAAAACGAACAAAATCCATTCATAAATAAAAAGTGGGTGTGGCCATTGTGCTCCACCCACTTCATCAATTAGGTATGTAGAAATCCATCTTAGATTTGAAATCGTCAAAAAAAATTGAAGGTTTTTCTAAAAAAAACGAAGCAAATCAATTAATAAACAAAAAAGTGGGTGTTGCCATAGTGCTCCGCCCTGTTTTGGGTTATGTAGGTAGAATTCTATTTTAAGTATGAAATCTTCAAAAAAATATGAGGATTTTGCAAAAAAAACGAAGAAAATTGATTAATAAATGAAAAAGTGGGTGTGGCCATAGTGCTCCACCCACTTTTTTAGTTATGTTTGAATATACCTGATTCAAGTATGAAATCTTCTGAGAAGATCTTCCAAACATCTTGTACCATCTGTGACAAGTTGTTCTACAATGCCTCAAATATCAGGAGGCATATGATTAAAATCCATTTCATGGATGTTAATCAAGTAAAAAAAATTCAAATTCAAAACACTGTCAAGCAATGTACATGGTGTGGGGTCATGAAAAAAAACCTAACCACACACCATAGACATTGTCAAAAATTTTTGAAATTACAATCAATTCAAAAAATGAAAAATGCTGAAACAGAAAATGAGCCAACTTTATCTTTGCTTCCTCCTAAAAAGAAGGTCAAAGGACCAGTAGAATTCATAAAATTATTCACTAATTATATGAAATCTAATGGTCCAAATACTTCCAAGGTCAAGACAAGGTACATCAAGTTGGTTGAGGACATCCTCATGTACTGGGAAGCAAAAATTGTTGGCTTTTTCTCTTCAAATCTTCTTCATTCCTTGCAAACATAGGCTGTGTTGCCAAATGTTTCTGATTTTTTGAAAACTGTCAAAAGTGTAATTACAAGATTTGAGGCAGCAAAAGCATACAAGCACTTGTGCTTGTTTGTGCTGTTTCATTTTCAACAAACTTCTTCATCACTTTCTGACTATTCATTTTAGGAAAAAACAGCATTTGAGCAACATATACATTTAAGAATGTTAAGCAACTCAGCAGACATGAGAGCTCACAACAAGGTTGCAGGTTTGAAGACAATGATAAACAAGGAGGAGCAGAGGTCCTCAGGCCAAGATTTGAGACACAATTCCAAAAGAACTCGGGAGATTTTCCAACACATTGCAAATCTGAAGTCTGTGTTTGATGCAGTTCAATCTATCACAGACAATCCAGAGAGTTGGAGTGAGGAGGCAGCAAGAAAACTCCTTGTTTGTATTCTTATTATATTCTCAGGAGGAATTAGGCCATCAGTTGCTCTGAGAATAACAATCAAGGAGTTCAAAAATGCAGTGGAAACAGAAGATGGGACAATGGTGGCTCAGGTCTTTGCCTCAAAGACCATCATGTCCTGGGGACTTGCTCCATTACCCTTCTTCTATAATGGAGTGTATGATGCAATCTCATCATACATCTCCTACTTCAAATCCTATGCAGAGGATCACTATGCTGTATTCTCTGCTCAATCTAGTGGAGAACCACACCTGGTTCAAGAGTGAATACCTAGATGGTTACTTCTCAAACAAAACTGAGAGTGACAACTTTCTACCCAAAATCTGGAGACATGGCTGGGCAAACTGGAAACATCAGAACCCCTTTAAGACCATCAGGACAACAGGCTATGGGTCAGTCCACAGCAACAGTGATCAAGAATTATGCTGACTCCATCCCAGAAAATGTCATCAAATTTGGCAGAGCAATCCTGTCAAACATTGTCAAGTTTCCTGATGATATTGTCAAGTTTCCTGATGATATTGTCAAGTTTCCTGATGATATTGTCAAGTTTCCTGATGATATTGTCAAGTTTCCTGATAATGAGTCAGATACTGAGCACAAGGCTGCCAGTAAAAAAGGAGAAGGGAGGATTCAGAAGAATCATCTATTTCTGATTCTGCATCTCCATCTGTTGCAAAGAAAACCAAAACTCTGGCCTCTGAAGTCAGTCAAGGAACACATTTCTTTCCCAAAAGATGTTTCCTTCCCAAAGACAGGGATTATCTGAGAACACTTTTTTTCAAAGATAATGAACCTCCAAGATCCTTGCAAGAGGTCAAGATCCTGTTTCTTGAGAAAATATGCATACTTTGTTATAATCTCCAAGATTATAAATTCTAACGATATTTTCTATCAAAATAACTGTTTGGCTCCTACTAGAGATGAGATATATGACGGAGAGGTTTCTCATGAGATATTCAGCATCGATGGAGCTCATTTCCTTTTGTTACTCTGGACAATTAAGAATCAAGAAAATTTTATTTAGTTTACAGAAATATATGTTTTGTATTTATTGTACATGTTTTCTCCCCTCCCCTCCTCTTCTATCTTTATAATCTCTGAATTATAAATTGATTTCATTCTTACAATTTCTACCTTCACAAGCCTTATATTTTTATCATCATTATGCAATATGCATATTCTAGAACATTCTGAATTATAAATTTAGTTCATTCTTACAACTTCTATCTTCTCAAGCCCTATATTTTTGTCATCAATGTGCAATATGCATATTCTAGAACGTTCTCTCCCTTACAAGCCATCAAATATGTCCTAGTTTTTCATCATCATTATGCAATACCCGGCCGTATAAAAAGGCCACCTTTTCGTAGTAGATTCAGTCTGGGGTTCACAGGCAGAACTACTACTACTCTTCTAACCAGAGATGGAATTTAAAGAATTTGAGCCGCGGTTTAAATCCGCCAAAACCCGGTTTAAATTGAGCGCCAGCTTAAATCTTGAAACATTTGATACAATTTTAAGTGGAAACAACCATATTTAAACCGCGGCTTAAATTTAAACCGCCGCTCAAATTCTTTAAATTCGGCCACAGGTCTCTCTATATATTCATATTCCCCTAAACCCTCCCTCTCTAATATCTTCTTGTTTTTAACTTAACATTTTTTTATCCATCTTTTTATACTTGTAAAATTTTCCTTATAAACTGGGCTGGTTTTTAACTTAGCATTTAACACTGTTAAATATTAGAAGTCTTATAAATTTCATCAAAAGGTTTAATTGATACTTAGACTGAAATCTATCAATTTTTAAATTGTTTATTTTGTTATCAATATTAGCAAGAATTACAACAACTTTTTCATCTCCTCCTGTTTCCTCAAGAGCTCCTCCTCAGCCTCCTCCTGTTTTCTCTTCAGTTCTTCTTTATTCTTCTTAACAAAAATTAAATTAAAATTTCTCTGTAGCTTTGTTCCTTAGTAGGAGGAAGAATGCAGTTGTGTGTGTACTGTGTATTATAGTTGTATCCTTAACCTAAACCATGTAAATTTAATTTTTGTTTTTACTAATTTTATTGCTCATTGGGGGAGGACAAGAAGGGGGAGGGGTGGACTGCCTCTCACCTTTGGATTCTACCACTTTCTTAACCTTTCGGTTTCCTTTAGATTTCACCTCCTTCTGAATATCAAGAATGTCCTGCTTCCCATTTTTGATCCATGACACTTTGCAATATCTAAATAAATTTAAAATTTTAGTTTTCAGCTGTATTTCAGGTTGCAAAGATATAGAGTTTTAGCTTTTCAGGTTCCAAAGATAAAGCATTTTAATTTATAATGATGCAAACATACGAACATTTTCAGTGTTTAGGTTGCAAAGATAATGATTTTAAAATATCAGGATGCAAAGATATGAACATTTAAGTGCTTAGGTTGCAAAGATAAGGATTTTAAATTATCAGGATGCAAAGATATAAACATTTTAAGTTTTTAGGTTACAACAATATACAAATTTTGGTTTTCAGGTTACAAAGATATTAAGATTTTAGAAATTATAGAAATAATAAAATAATTATAATAATAATAATAATAATAATAACAATAATCATAATAATATGAATATGCTTACTTTTTCATCTTCTCCTGTTTCCTCATGAGCTCATCTGCATTTCTTTCAGCAGTCCTAAAAATTTCAGTTGTANAAGTTTTAAGGTTACAAAGATATTAAGATTTTAGAAATTATAGAAATAATAAAATAATTATAATAATAATAATAATAATAATAACAATAATCATAATAATATGAATATGCTTACTTTTCCCCCTCCCCCTGTTTCCTCATGAGCTCATTAGAATCAGAACCTTTGTTACTGATTCCTTCATCATTCCTAAAAATTGATTTATTTATAAACATGGGCAATTTACTGCAATATCAAAATTAATTTGAAATTTTAGTTTTTAGTTGTATTTCAGGTTGCAAAGATATAAAGATTTAGCTTTTCAGGTTGCAAAGATAAGGTACAAAGAATGCAGTTGTGTGTGTACCGTGTATTATTGTTGTATCCTAAACCTAAACCAAATAAATTTATCTCACATATTGTTGTGGTGTAGGTACAAAGAATGCAGTTGTGTGTGTACTGTGTATTATTGTTGTTTCCTAAACCCAAACCATATAAATTTACCTATATATTGTTGTGGTGTAGGTACAAAGAATACAGTTGTGTATGTACTGTGTATTATTGTTGTATCCTAAACCTAAACTATATAAATTTACCTCACATATTGTTGTGGTGTAGCTACAAAGAATGCAGTTGCGTATGTACTGTGTATTATTGTTGTACCCTAAACCTAAACCAAATAAATTTACCTCACATATTGTTGTGGTGTAGGTACAAAGAATACAGTTGTGTGAGTACTTTGTATTATTGTTGTACCCTAAACCTAAACCATGTAAATTTACCTCACATATTGTTGTGGTGTAGCTACAAAGAATGATGGTTCTTCAACTTTTGACCTGAATGATGAATATTAGTATTATTCTAACATTTTTGTTTTTACTAATTTTATTTATATATTTTATATCTTATGGTATTATTTGCAAAATAAAGCTTTACATTGTGCTTTAAATGGTTAATTTGTATGTAATATTTTACTTACATATTACTAACAACAAAACCTGGAGCTAACGCTTGAACAATTATTCCTTTACTTCTATACTTGATCTGCAATATTAAATATATTTACGTAATTAACAATGAATGAAGGTAAGGAATAAGAGATTAAGGTGAAAAAGTTGGCTTGTAAACACAAAGGTTAAGGCAACTTCAGACTTCAGAGAGAACGGGATTTATTCAGTATTGTTTTATCAAATTCCTGATAACCTTCAGATGTAGACCGTCATATTTATGAAAGTTATGCATGTAGTCATAAAGCAAGATGGCATTAAAAGATACTGTTAAGAGAGAAGCATTACATTGTTAAGAGTTTTGTTGACAAATCTTTATTTGGTTTCTTCCAATTCAATGTAATTTTCTTTGTGGTGGAGTTTGGACCCTATTATTAGATATCATAATAAAAAATCATTCTGAACTCGGTAATTTGTACCTCTAAATCCTGACTGAATTGTCTAACAAAAGCTTTACAAGCTGAGTATACAGAGAATATAGGTGAGGTCTGTAGAGTAGAAAGAAAACCAATATTTATCACAGCTCCTCGTTTCCTAAATATAATTAAATAGACCCTTTATAACCAGTATTCGACCAGGCTGACGTCGATCCTTTACCCAAAATAGTAATTTTACCTTTCTACCATTCCGGGGAGAACTGCTAGAGTTACATTTATAACTGAAGACACATTCACACTCACCATATCCCTGAAATTAGTCAAGTCATGTGTACAATAATAACATACAGGGTTACCCACAAAAGATGAGACTTCAGAGACGACAGTACGAAACATATTTTGTCTGTTTACTTAAGCTCGTGGTTCTCTGCATCTGTGAACTGGATTCTCTCTTTGCCAAATCATTAGATAAGCCAGATAGACAGACAATTTAATTTAACCTTGTAATCGTCATATTAACAGAGTTTCATGTCGTTTTAACAGTCTCATTCTTTGTGGGTACCCTGAACGTATGTAATACACATACGTACATTCTACTTATAGTCGTAACTTCAAGTGATTTCTCTATTCACAAGGGTACCCATAAAATCTTGTCTAATTCTTACAACCTCTCTGTTGTGATGTTGAGTTGGTGAGAACAGAAGAAATGTTCATGTTCATTTTGTAAAGAAACCACAAAAAAAACATAATTCCATATTTATTTATTCTATATTCTACGTGGAAAGGGTACAGTTGTAAATCGAACCTATCACTTAATGTATAAATGTAGGGTCGCTTGAAATTATGTTTACAGTCCCTTCGACAATACATGTCTTTAAACACTTGTCAGGGTTAATCAGTAAAATTCAGAACATGTCACGCACCTAAGGTTATTTTGCATTGCACAAATGGTAGTTTTAGCCTTGAATATTTCTCAAACATTTTCATTATATCTGTGGTCATTTTTTGCATGCGTCATAAGTTTACAGAACTTTTGGTTTTAGAGTTTTTGTCACAAATCTTTCCAACCTAAGGGTATAAACCTTTGATATTTTAAACTTAGACTATTTGATCTAACAGAATTCATAGTTTGAAATATGAAAGGTTTACGACACCAGGTTGAAAAGATGTAGAGATAATAAAAAATAAAGTTTTTGGCAAAACCTCTTTTTCTTTTCAAAGTTTCTTATTTATACAGTGTGTCACAGAACGTGCAAGCTCTTATAGGACCGATCTAAATGAGGTGAAACTGTCTGTCTAAAAAGTTATAGCCATGCATAATTAAATGATAGTTTTATAGATAGTTATTTATGCCTAAGTAACTTCCCAACTTCCTATTATACCCCATAAATATGAATTTTGTATTGTAATGAAATATACCTTGAGACTTGAGCACAGTTTTCAATATCTAGAAAATATTCAGGATGTTCATATCCCATCCCAACATTGTTGATCAGCAGACCAATATCTCCTTTTATATCCTGAAACAATTTATATATATAATTTTGTCATGCATTAGTGGATTTTTTAACATCAGTTATATTGGAAAAGAAAGATCTGAAATGCGTTTAAAGTTTTTAGTTGAGAGGTCAAAACTTTGAATATTCTGTGGTCTGTACCTAAGTTTACAATATATTATTTGATAAGAATTACCATTATGCCATATTGTATCTTCTCTAGAACTGTGTCAGCTTGAGTAAAATCTACAGGAATTATTATTGTTCTGATATTGAACCTTCGCTCAAGCTTCTCAGCTAAATCCTAAACAAATAAATAAACAGGGCTACTCACAAAGTTGACACTTTAATGACGACCTGTAACTCATTCAAGTAACTATAAGCATAAATTTCAAGTTCATTTAAGATTGACAACGGCACCCGTTGAGGGAGATATTGATCCTCAAGTAAAACTTTTTTTTTGTGCGAGAATCAATTCTAAATAAATTTTGAATAAAAGGATGTAATTTCATTTTTTTGCATTTTTATCAAAATTATAAATTTGTAACCTCTAGTTTGCTTTGATTTCTACTAACTAGAACTATATTCATTCCTCTGCTCGCCAGCTCTTCTACAAATCCTTTCCCTATTCCGTGGGTAGCGCCGGTCACAACAGCCCAGTCACCTAGTGTAGTCACATCCACAGCACAACGAACAAACTGATAAAACAGATGATTTTACATTAATCGTAACGGTAAATTATCGTATCCATAGTAAAACATTATTCGTAAAAAAATGTATGAGCTGTTTCAATTACAAAAATTAGTTCATCCTGGGCTGGAAACTTTAAAATTATGGATATCGAGATCAATGCTAAATCTCATCTTTTTTTTAGTCCCAAGATTAATTTTATCTTTAGTCAGGTCAGTTTAAAGTATTGTTATCCAAAAAGAGCAGGATTAAGCAGAAATCAAGTTTCCACAGTGGATATTCAAATTAAGCGATCGGGATTAAAGGTATTCAATTCTAAGTTTGTCAGCTCAGCGCTGAAAACTTTAGATTTGGACATCCTTAATCCCGATCGATTAATTAGTCCGGAGATTAATAACAAGAAGAGAACAAGCATTATTTAATCCACCATTCTAAAGTTTTTGGCTCTGGAAACATATACAAACGTATGAAAGCATCAGAAAAAAACAGACAAAATTATAAAATTACCTTTGACAAGTATTTAAACATATGGTTAGCTGAATAAATGCATGACAAAACTCCGATAACCGTGAATAAGATCATCAATTTCTGAATAAAAAAGAAATGTTCGCGGATTTCTCATGTTAGAAACTGAGATTTGAAGTAAAATTTTTAATCGAAATTACGATTTGAATATATTTAGCAGTTAAATTTCACGAATTACGTACAATGGAGTTTCCCAATAAAATAATTCACAATTTTAACACTTTAAAAATGGAACTTTTAACTTATGACATACGTATATTTCAGTTTGTGTTTATAACAACTGAACCACTGCAAATTATAGAGTTAGAACTTAAAAGTAGATAACGATAGCGTTTTAACCATTAGAAAAATTTTTATTATTTGAGAATTGTTGAATAATTTGACACTTGGCAGTCTTTAAATTTACCATAGCGTTTTTAAAACAAAATTCACTCCATACAATGCCTCTGTTTATCCGGTGCTGACAACTTTAGAATGGGATATTTTTAATCCCGATCGGTTAATTTATATGAAGATTAATAACAGGAGGAGAACAAGCATTATTTAATCTGGAGATTAAGAAAAAGAGGAGATCAAGCATTGATTTCGATATCCACCATTCTAAAGTTTTTGGCTCTGGAAACATATACAAACGTATGAAAGCATCAGAATAAAAACAGACAAAATTATAAAATTACCTTTGACAAGTATCTAAACAAATGGATAGCAAAACATATGCAATACAAAACTCCGATAACCGTGAATATCATCATCAGTTTCTGAATAAAAAAGAAAATATGAGACATGAAACAAGAACAGGATGAATATCCAGGGTTACCCACAAAAGATGGAACTTAATAGACGATTGTACGAAATTTATTTTGTCTGTTTTTTTATATTTAAAATCCCCAGTACCTGTAAGTTTTTTATCTTTGAGAAATAGTTAAAAATATGCCTTTATATATGCAAAAGTCAAACCTTGAAATCTTCATATTCTAAGAGTTTCAGGTCGTCTTTACAGTTTCATCCTTTGTGGTTATCCCTGTATAATCTTTATGAAAGATACCTGACAGTTCAGAACTAAACTTATCGCACTTTGAATAGCCAAAGTCAGTTCACTGAGAGAATCCATTTTCACGTGTGACTTCAAGTGGAAAATTAATTTTGCGAATTTTGTTTAAATCGTTCGCGGATTTCTCATGTTAGAAACTGAGATTTGAAGTAAAAATTTTAATCGAAACACCCCTACCTTTTGTAAACCTACCTTGGTTCTAACTACAGTCTACAATGGTTCCTTGTTTAATTACTATATCCTTGTAATTGATATTACACCTGGAAAATGAGGGTTAGTGGTATAATTAGAGGTCAGAATACAAACAAACTTNCTATAGATTTAGAGAGGGGTTTTCAAGTACTACCCTATTCATTTTCATTTGTGGTATCTCTTCTAAGGGAAACATATCGTAATGATCAAAATTAAAATTTTTAAAACTAAGAAAAACTTAATTTTGTTGGTAACGCTGTGAATCGGATTTTAAGGGTAACCAAATAGATTTTCAAGTACACTAGGTGGCTACAGAGAAATAAACCAATTATACACATCGTCACAAGTGTCAAATATAAAAAGAAAAACGAAATTTTTGCACATTAGTTGACATGTTTTCCAAGATTAAATAAAACAGTGAAAAACAGAAAATAAAGAACACATAAAGTTGCAATTATTTTACTGTAAGATAAGCACTATAGTCTAAAATTATCACTATTATTAATAATTTTGTCAGACATGCGTTGACACTTGTGACGTAAGAATACAGCTATACTGAGAGTGTACTTGACGATCTATCTAAGGGTCCCCTTAAATTCAACGGATTTGTCATTCATTTATAAATTCATCCTTTCACCTACTTATCAATTCATCTATTTTTAATTTTTTTAATTCATTTCAACATAAATCATATTATCAAATTTATTAGTTGATTGAAGCGTCTAACTGAATAAAATGTAGAAATGATGAAAAGTATAAAACTGTTCAGAATCTTCTCAAAGAAAAGAAAACTGATTGAAAACTTAGATTGGATCTTTGATTAAAATTTTGCTGAAACTTAAAATAATTTTCTGCATCCTTCATCTTGGAGGTTGTATTTAAACACTTTAGTTTGAGAACCCAGCGTTGCTTAGTTTATTCATAGTTACAACCCGCCGTTTACCCGCGCTTGGTCGTAAATTTAGATTTTAGCTATTTTTCCCTTTAAAAGTCGACCCACTTTACTTAGATTCTGAAAACCAAGCTAAGAACATTCTCGTGGTTTTCCCGAGTTTTCCAAATAAAAATTTGAGACAAATCGGTCAAGGTATTCCATTGTGGCCTACACAGAAGGAAAAGATAAACTTCATGCGTCATCACTGGTGAGACTATGTGACCTCGTAGCTCCTCTTGATTTTACGCAAAAGTATGAGAAGAGACAAATTATCTGGTTACGTTTAAAACATATTCAAACATTTCTGATGTTCTGCCATTTCAAATTAGAAATATTTACGAGCAAGTTTTGTGGCTTTGGTCGGTGGAAATACAGTGAAAGATAGGAATGCTGCTATATAGAGATGTATGTGTACTAGCTTGGGAACCCATGGATTTGTCTTTAAAGCTTCGCTATTACAGTCAATCCACTCAATTTAGAATTTGTCAACCAATCTAAAAATATTAACGTAATTCTAACGAATTCCTTAATCTAAATTGGAGGCAAAACAGTTCAGTAGTTCCAGATCGGATATACAAACAAACAAACAGAGATTACTACATTAATATATAAATATAGATATTTACAATGTAAGTTTATTTTCTAAATGAACAGTAATATATTCAGTATAAACTATAGTATGATACAAGCTATTTGGCTAAAAAACGACATAATATATGGAGAACATATTGGTCTCACATTGCGTGGATTAATATTGCATAATATTTGGTTTAGTCGAAGGCTAATCAACATTCTAATGAAATATGCTTACACAACACCACCACCAGATGGCAGAGTAATCGTCTTACATAATTTACAAATGACAGTTAAAAAGGTGCTTTATTCATAATCGCAGACTAAGCACATGGATTGTATTTTAATTATAAAAAAGAAAATTATGATAATATTAGTTTATCTTTAATAAGAGATTACGTTCACACATTGTTCATTTTGAGACGAAATAATTTTACTTTGAATATTCATAAAAAGTTATTAATCATGTTTTTGAAACAAATCTAATCGATAACTTTAAAATTATTTGATAAATTGGAAGCAAATTCTAGAAATGCAGAGCTGTGCAATACAAAAAGAAAGGAATTGAGTGTCTGCCACAAACTCTGGTTTTCTAATTCCTAAATCTTTGCAACCCAAACTATAAATTCTGTTAGATTAAATAGTTTAAGTATGAAATATCAAAGGTTTACACAATCAAGTTGCAAAGATATAGAGATTAAAAAATTTGAGTTTATAACAAGGACTATAATTTCTTTGATTTACAAAATTTATGAAAATTACTCATGCCAATCATATGAACATGCACTTTTCACTAGTCACAAAGTTGATGATTATTGCACTGTAAGAATTAGAAAGGGGTCACTTTTCAATTATCGAGAAAAAAAAGTTTGTTTATTGTTAACTTCTTCTGCCGAGTTTTTCAAAAGTAAAATCTCCAAACTGCTCGTCTAAAAGTTCACGGAAAGATGCTGAATCGGGGAAACTGAAAAAATAAAGAAAAGTAAGTCTTTGGAATAACAAATTAAGCCTTTGGCACACACTACAATTTTCTCATTATTATTTCTTTGCAAGCTGACAGTGTAACCCTTTGATATTTTAAACTTAGATTATTTGATCTAACAGAATTCATGAGTTTGAAATATGTAAGTTTTACGGCATTGGATTGTAAAGATAAAGGGATTAGAAAACTAGAGTTTGTGACAAAGACTAAAGAAATTGATTTGTCCAGCATCACAAACTACTAATTTCCTGATCCTTATGTAATTTTAAACTGAGTTTAAATCTTTACTATTTGATCCAGTTCACTGAACTATACACCGGTTCAAATCTTAACTCACCGATTTCAATCCTCACGAATCTTTAACTTTGAATTGGTGATTCAGGATTTGGACCAGCGGTTGGTAGTTCAGCGAACTTTTCTCCATTTCATTAAATTCATGTTGCAAAGATATAAGAATTAGAAAATTTAGTAATAAGATAATATGCTGAAGTGTTTGTGGTCTAAGGTTTTTATTAAAAACAGTTAAATACTTACTTTGAATTCCGAAACTCTTCAAAAGGATCCTCCTGGAACCCTGAACTAAGATCATTTTGGAACTCTGAGCGGAATGAAACGGGTTCCGGAAGGACTGTATTCTCCTGGTCCCTGAAATTAGAGACCTGAGGAACCTTAGCTACAGGTCGGGTCAAAGGCTCAGCTAAATTTTTTCTGAACTGCGGAGCTGTGGCTAGGACAGGTCTCCGGTTGGAAGCTCCCCTAGGAGGGTTGGGTCTCCTGAACCTATTATTGGGAGGTGGAGGACCACGAAGGCTCACAGGACGAGGACGAAACAGCGACCTTTCGTTAGATCCAGGACGGGATAAGGAGACGGGACGGAACGGTTTTCTAACTTCTCTTCTGGGAGGAGGAACTGGTTTCTTCTGGGGCGCCCTGGCTGGTAGTTTCCCTGATCTATGAGGCAGCGATCCAGATTTGTGATCTATCTCTCTGAACCTGAGCGGAGGTGGGGGAGGTCCAAATCTTCTGCTTCCAGCTCCCTGGGGACCTGACCTCGATTGACCTCCATACGGGAACCCGGCGAGAAAGTAAAGACCGCCGACGATTGCTCCCAAAGTTCCGAGAATTGAGACACTCTCCGCAGCAGTTCCGTTGTATGCGATCGTATTGCTCTTAGATACGGGGATTGTGATTAAATTGTAGCTACCTGAAATTAAAAATTGCTGAATTTTTAAACTTTTTATGATTTAGATTTCTAAACATTTTCATAATGATTTCAAAATGTTTCAAATACATAAAAATCTTACTAATTGGAAAAAAATTTAGGTTACTTCTAAAAACTTTTGTCCATGATAATATGAATGTATGTACAAATCGTAAAACAAATATATGGAAGACTAAAGAAAGATTTTGAATATTTGTCATTTAATCGAAATATAATTTCTCTGATGAGCACTTCATTGTTAACCTGTGTTTTTCCAGGTAACTCCAGCCTTCCCTACCACATCGTCGCCATTTTGTGAGGTCAAAAACCGGTTTTCTTCGCCATTTTGTTGGGTCAAAAACTGGGGTTCTTCGCCGTTCGGTGATTTCAAAAACCGGTTCTTGTCTGAATGTTGTCCTGCAGCATGTAGGACTAAATTGCAAGAGAGTAGGACCGCGAAACACGTCACAACCTAGAAAAAAGGATCAGGGTTCAAGAAGAAAATATCCGTGTTTATCATACATTGATGTGAATGATATAGTTAAAACCACAAAACTGTTGATTGTATGTTCATGGCATATATGTTTGTTTATTTGCAAAATTACAAAAATTTTAATGACATTTTATGACTTGGATATCAATTTAAAAATAGAACTTTATTTTAAATTATATATATACTCTCACAAATGACTTCGATATCAATTTAAAATAGAACATTACTTTAAATTGTATATACTCTCAAAAAATATGTATTTAATACATTTTCTTACATAATTACACTGGCTTCAGAATCAATATCCAGATTCTTCAATATAGTTAAAAAGGGTTGAAATTATAAAGTGTCTGTGAAAAAATATAGAAAATAAATGGACTGTTTTAAATTTTTAACGATTTAAAAAAAAAATTTTCTGATGTTTTTGTAGAGCGAATCTTATATAACCACCACAACGAGATGGACCCTGAAATTTCTGTAGGTCTGTGCTGCCCAAAAGGCAAGAAGTTCCCGGCTAATCTGTCAGAGCTAAATTCATTTTTTACCATATTTTTGTCCTCCCAAGGTACAGACGAATCTTAATTCATGGTCTAACCTTTCACCCCTCTTCATTTAAAGAAAAAAACCGTGAAGGGGCTGTAAGCGTAATTAGTGAACATTACAGTGTTCTATTCACAAGGGTACCCGGCCTAAACATTACAGTGTTCTATTCACAAGGGTACCCGGCCTAAACAACCTTAGAGTGATTAAGGATGAATTATATATCAACGTTCAGAATTTTAAAAACTAATTATTTCCAAAAGTGACTTGCGCATTTCAACTTCAGGAAAATATATAGGAATTATCAGAATTAAATACTTTTAAACCAAAAAAAGGCAATATGCGCCCGCATTATCGATCAGAAAAGGTAGGGTACTGTTGTGAATCGGGCTTTGTCATCTTTGAATATTAAAGCTCACTTGAATTTCCACTTACCCTTTAAAAGAGAAAAATTATAGAAGTAAACCTATTCTTCATCAAACCCAATTCAGAAAAAAAAGCAAGAATATTCACTCTTTAATTCACTCTTTAGAGTTTTCTACTATTTTATCATGAGAGCTTAATCTAGCAAACAAATCAAAAAATCTTGTTTTTACAGGAACTGTAAAAGTCTGCCACATAATGTAGATTCAAAATTAAACTAATTTCAATTTTTCTATATCTGTGCAACCTGATTTTTCATATCTAAAACTTTGAATTCTTAAAAATCAAATTCTTAAACTTTAAATATTAGAAGTTTACAGAACCAGAATGCAAAGATTTGAAAATTAGAAAATTAAAAGTTAAAATTAAAAAATTGAAATGAGTACTGAGTTTCTTCATTTATTATTGAACGATGACCATTTTGCTTCAGGAAAGGAACTGAGTTTTTGCCACAAGTTATGATTTTACAATCACTATATCTTTTCAACCTGATGGTTTTAACCTTTGATATTTCAAACTATCCTTATTGATCTAAGATGATTCATAGTTTGAAATATCTAAGGTCTCCGAATTTCAAATGCAAAGATATAGGGATAAGAATATCAGAGATTGTGACAAAGGAATCTTTGCAAATCTTCCAAAATTCATTGAATAATAAAAACATGTTTTTTAACTGTCTCCATAACTATATTAACCCTCTTGTCTAAGAATTTTTAACATCGAAAAAGTGTAATTTAGATATTTCAAAATAATTGCAGAGGACTGGAGTTTTCTAATTTGAACCTACCCTCATCATGGTTTCCAAGAAACTGACTCCGTAATGTCCTGAATAAACCAGGACTTAGAGACCGCCGTGGATCAATAAAATTACGTCATTGCGTGCATATATTCTATATATTTTATATATATATAAATTCCTAACGTAAGGAACCGACGGGCGTTAGAATCTGTTTGTCGCATTGAGATCTCCGCGTCCACTGGGTCAAGAAGGGTCGGAGGGGCGGACTCAGTGTCGGACACTAGGGGGAAATCTTGGACAACATTGGGTCATTATAGCTTAAATGGACTGTATACGTAATTTTAAGTTAAATATAGATATACCCTACAGAGTTAAATATAGATTTACTCTATAGAGTTAAATATAGATTTACTCTTTAGAGTTAAATATAGATTTATCCTACTGAGTTAAATATAGATTGACTCTTTAGAGTTAAATATAGATTTATCCTACTGAGTTAAAAATAGATTGACTCTTTAGAGTTAAATATAGATTTATCCTACTGAGTTAAATATAGATTGACTCTTTAGAGTTAAATATAGATTTACTCTTTAGAGTTAAATATAGATTTATCCTACTGCGTTAAATATAGATTTACTCTACAGAGTTAAATATGAATTAAATATAGATTTATCCTACAGAGTTAAATAAAGATTTATTCTACAGAGTTAAATATAGATTTCTCCTACAGAGTTAAATATAGATTTACCCTACAGAGTTAAATATAGATTTACTCTATAACAGAGTTAAATGTAGATAATAGATTTACTCTACAGAGTTAAATATAGATTTACTCTACAGAGATAAATAAAGATTTACTCTACAGAGTTAAATATAGATTTATCCTTCAGAGTTAGATATATATAGATTTACTCTACAGAGTTAAATATAGATTTACTCTGCAGAGTTAAATATAGATTTATCCTACAGAGTTAAATATAGATTTACTATACAGAGTTAAATATAGATTTATCCTTCAGAGTTAAATATAGATTTTACTCTACAGAGTTAAATATAGATTTACTCTGCAGAGTTAAATATAGATTTATCCTACACAGTTAAATATAGATTTACTATACAGAGTTAAATATAGATTTACTCTACAGAGCTAAATATAGATTTTCTCTACAGAGTTAAATATAGATTTACCCTACAGAGTTAAATATAGATTTACTCTACCTAGTTAAATATAGATTTACTTTATAGGGTTAAATTTAGATTTACTCTACAGAGTTAAATATAGATTTATCCTTCAGAGTTAAATATAGATTTACTCTACAGAGTTAAATATAGATTTACTCTACAGAGTTAAATATATATTGACTCTACAGAGTTAAATATATATTGACTCTACAGAGTTAAATATATATTGACTCTACAGAGTTAAATTTAGAATGACTCAGAAGCAAAATTGTATTCTGCTTGGGATTTCAAGGCATAATTTTAAAATGCATTTTCACAAAAATCAAAAACATAGTTCCCTCAAACTAGGTTTAAAGATGAAATATGTAAAAAATTCACTAGAATAAGTAAAATTTTAATTTTTAAAGCATGTTGATATCGGTATTAATAAAATCTGCATAAAAACCAACGTTCAAAACAAATTACAGAGTTCAAAAAAATAAAAAATGGGAAAGCTAAGGTCAAAAAACTTTTTTCCTATATAAATTTTTTTCGGTACTCAAAAATGTGGCTTTTTGTAAAGCTTTAAATCAGTCGATTTTCAATATATTTATATATGCTGTAATTTGATTTTAATTCGGGAAAACCTCCTAGTTTCAAGAATACCATGTATTGAATATCTGTTTAAAATTTGAATGTGTATCAGTGCATTTGTTTACAATTTTTTCATGACAACCCATTTCAGGGAGTCATTTTTTGTAAAATTTGTATTTTTAAAACAGGCCAATTAGAATTCCAAGAAGAATACAATTTTACTTCTGTAAATGAAAAATGTCAGAAAATTAAAAACCCTATAGTATTCTTGGATTCGTTTTGGTGTCGCTGTAATGTTACTAAAAACTATAATGTGTTGCAATGCAATGCCGAAATCATAATATACTTGATTTTTAAGATAGGAAAGAATCATATTCAATTACTTACAGGGTTGGTTAAAACTTAAAATCTATCGGATTGATGAAAAGTAAAACTATCATGATTTATTAATGAATTATTGACAATGACAATGACAATCAGACAATTGACAATGACAATCTGAGGGAAAACAACAGAAAAATGATATTTAAATATTTTAAAAAATTATAGATCCCTTTTTCCCGGAGAACTGGCTTATTTGATTAATATAGTTTTGTTAAAGCACCTTAAAGTAAATTAGGCTGTGGAACCTAGGTCTGAGATATATTTAACAGGAAGGGAAACAGAGAAGAAATAAACGTCCAACTGGAGGTATATGTCGTCTCAACTACATAACAGGAACGTGAAAGGATAAAAAAATCCTTTTATCTTAGTAACGTGCCTGTCGTCTAAACACCTTGAGAGGAACTTAAAAGGATAAAAAAAAATCCTGTTATCTTAGTAACGTGCCTGTCGGCTAAACTAAATAACAGGAACGTAAAAGGATGAAAAATCCTTTTATCTTAGTAACGTGCCTGTCGTCTAAACTACATGTGAGGAACGTAAAAGGATAAACAATTCGATTTATCTTGGTAACGTGTCTGTCGTCTAAACTACATAACAGGAACGTGAAAGGATTAACAATTCCATTTATCTTAGTAACGTGCCTGTCGTCTAAACTATATAACAGGAACGTGAAAGGAGAAACAATTCGATTTATCTTAGTAACGTGCCTGTCGTCTAAACTACATAACAGGAACGTGAAAGGATAAAAAAAAATCGATTTATCTTAGTAACGTGCCTGTCGTCTAAACTACAGAACAGGAACGTGAGAAAATAAAAATTCGATTTATCTTAGTAACGTGCCTGTCGTCTAAACTACATAACGTAACGTGAAAAAATAAAAATTCTATTTATCTTTGTAACGTGCCTGTCGGCTAAACTACATAACAGGAACGTGAAAAAATAAAAATTCGATTTATCTTAGTAACGTGCCTGTCGTCTAAACTACATAACAGGAACGACAAAAAAAAATAAAAATTCGATTTATCTTAGTAACTTGCCTTTGTAGAATGTACGTTAGCAAACAGATAATCTCATATTATCTGAAACGTTAAGTACAACGTAATATATACTTTAAATCACATAAAATGCAGATTACTTATTGAAATGTTTAACAGCGGAAAAAAAAACTATGTTTAACATATACCCCGCAGTAAACCGTGCTAGCTCTAAACATTCATGAAACATAGTCGTAAAGGAATAGATTTGTATAGTACAAGGAGATGTATAAATTTTTTAACGTTATCAAATACTGTGAATTCTCTTATTTCTTTATTCTTTTGCATAAGAAAGATCAAATTCCAACACCAATAATTTGTTGTAATTTTGAAAGACAAATCCGCAAACTCAAACTCCTTATAATGTTATCAAAACTAATGTAAAATGTAAACGAATATATAAAAATGTTTTAACATTTATACATTACGTAATTCTTGTAAACCACAAACTCGAACGGAGAATATAAATATTTACAAAAAAAACTTGTAAAACATTTAGCGTGAAAACAGAAATTATATGCCAATAATTCAAAGAAAAAAACACTAGTGAAAGGTCTAAAACAATTCTGCGGCACAAATGGGTTAATTGTTGTATGAAGTATCTTCATATCTCTCTATTTAATGTTTTTTCACTTCACCGGATCTTTTCAAACCCATTGAAGAACTTTTTTTTAATAATCTTGGAAGTTCGTAATTTAAAGATTGTGAATTTAAATCAAATTTTTGAGGCGTTATACCATGTTTATTGGTCCTAGATTAATGCCTAAGGGGGGGGTACTATTTTATTTAGTTTCTTTATATTCTCCATTTTTGTCGAATCAAAATCTACAAAATGTTAAGATCCCAAAAAGGACACTCGGGAGTTTCGTTCGACGATACTCTTTTAAATTTCGGACTCTTGGGGTTTAGATATCCTAAAGTGGCACATTGCACTCGAGGCCTTTCAGTTTTATTTGGCCTTAAATTTACGAAACTATCACCAAATTCAATTTAGTATTAAAAATATTTGAAGTTAGGAAGAAAAGTGCAATTTAAATGAAATTTAAATTTTTTTCAAGAAGTCGAGCAGATAACTTTGTCATCTTTAAACAAACCTTTTTTTTTAATGGTGGTTACGCCCGGCCTTGTTGTGCTTTGTGTTTCTATCAAATTAATGGATATCAGGAAATACGTTTAAAAAGAAAATGGAAAATACCAAAAACCGTCCAAATTACAATATAGAAAATTTAAAAAAGAAAATCTTAAAATTATGTTTGTTTTGAAACTTATTAAATCAAGATTTCTGAAAAAAAAAAATTGTGGGCTCCCGTTCTATATTTTTTATATTTGAATTGTTAGGATTGGGGGGGGGGGAGGGGGCAACGTCCCTGAAATCTTAGATCAATAATTAATCACATGAGTAATTATAAACTGAGAAATTTCTCCTCAAAATAGTATACTGGCTTAGTAGACTTCTACGCAGGGTGTTCTAAAAAACATGGGATGTTCAAAACGATTTTGTGTTGACAATTATACCAAAAATGTTCAGTATTTAAAGGGAACAATCCCTTTAACTCTGAATGTGGTCTGCTTTACTTTATATACATGAACCTTCAACTTTTTAATGCAGTTTTTCATTGACTTTTTAAGTCAAAGACTATCCTAAGGTCATTAAATTCCCATTTTAATTTGGACACCCTGTAATAGTTTTGAACTATACTGACTTCTATTCTCAAGGTCACGGTAATTTCTTATTAAACATGGAATCTCAAGTTTACGCAGGTTTACGCCAGATGGTTTTATGCGTAACTTAAATCATAAATATTAATCAAAGCGTCAAATTTTTTCCTTATGTCGAGAATCCCAAAGCGTTATAAACCTTGGTTTGTAAAAGATTAAAATCTTAAACAATTGCGAATCTCGAATTTGCAATTTAAAGAGACTGTATAGTGTATAAAGCGTAATTATAAGTGACCCTCCATGCACAGATTGCAATGCTCGAATCACAACGGTACTAGGTTTAAACCCTTCATTTGGTTAATAAAGTAGAAAATATTGTTGTTTGTCTAGGAGTAAAAGTGTTTATTTCTAATAATTCATAAATATGCTCTCAGCTGCAGTTTAAATGCGCAATTCACTTTTGTAGAAAAATCAAGATTTATATTTGTCAGTGTTCAAAATTATTAAATGTTTTCTCATCTTATCCAAAAGAAAATACAAGCTGTTATGGTTAACATTGTGAATCGGGAATTGCCATCTATCAATAGAGAGTGTCACTTGAAATTAGGCGTACAGTCCCTTTAATCCTTGACAACATCTGTAAACTTTAAACTCAACCAAACTTTTCTAACTTCTAAAACTAAACTTCTAAAATCTAGTCTTAATTTCTAAAATTCAAAACCTCAAAACCTAGTACAGAGTTAACTTGGAAAAAACCTCCTTTACCCTGTATACAAAGGTTGTTAATCGTTTTTAAAACGATCGAAAATACTATGGTTTTTGAAATCGATCCACTCGTTTTGCATTTTTTAAAAACGATCGTTTTTAAAAAAAATCGCCAATGAATCTGAGTTTTATGACAATTAATTTCATTTTTGTTCAGAAGATAAGTTTGTGAATGTTGCCTTAAACGGTTATTTTATCGATAGAAATTATCTGAATGTTCTCTGGCTTAAAGAATTTTTGATCTAAGGATTTTACGACCAAAAAATGTATTTTGTCTTTAAGGTCTTTAAAGATCATTACCGATCGTCAAAAGTTAAAAGGACTTACTTTCGTTAACGAAACGATCGTTTTTCAACAAATTGAAAACGATCCATTCCTACCTGTGTATGCCTCTGAAGCCCGGAGGTATACCTGAGACAAACCTACTTTACACCAGAAGCCCGGAAGATCATAAGAATGAAACAAACATCTGTTGTTCAACACTTGTTTAACACATCTCAACCTTGTATTCATAATTAGACCGAGAGCAAGGTTAATCCATGCAAAATATAATTCAAATGTTGAAGGGTTTATGAGCAACTAATCTTTTCATGCATATGTGGCCATATGCTCTTATTTTGCTAATTTCATGCCATAAAGTTTAATTTGGCATATTTTTCATCTGGTTTATTCTTTCATAAAAGTTGTCTTAAACATTAGCATCAATAAAAATTAAAATTAAAAATATTTTAGTTGTTCACTGAAAAAGAAAACCATTGCATCTATCTTAATTTCCTAACAGTGCACTATATCCTGAACTTCTTACATTATTATTAGCATTTTTTTATTTAAAAAATAAAATAAATATAAAAATTTTAGAAATTATTAGAAACTTCCTAGCAGGGGCTTATTCATTTTGGGTACTGTCCCATCTTGCCTTAAATAGGCGATATGTGTACTGTACAGCTTGATCATAGCTGCTTTAACCCAGTCGGCCTGGTATTTGAAATCAACCGGAGTTTACAGTGTAACAGTGATTGTTCTGAACGGTGGCATCGTTAACAGGAAATCCAGTTCGTTAACGATGCTCAGCCCTATGTAGCTTGCAGGTGGTTTTAAAAGGCCCAAATGACTTTGAATAATTATTCTATCATTGGAAGAGAATTAAACAGTGAAATTTGAGAATTCATTCAAAAAATTCATTCTCAGGATTAACTATATATTTTTCAAAGAATTTTGACTACTGAGGATCGTCCTGAGACGTGAAACATTATGTTTAGTATAATTCTTGTTAAATAAAATGTTAAGTTCAAAAACTGAAATATATATATATATATATAAGAGACTGTAAGTACAATTTTTGTTTGGTTTCATTATACTTCTGAAACATCCTTAGACACAGAATTTCATATGGATACAATTGCGGCTCCATCTGTTAGTCTATGCTTTGTCTTCGAACTATCTCATGAAAATTAACATTCTCCATTTTTCACAAAAACCAAATGGCTTATTCTGTTAAATAGAATGATATTTTATCTGCATCATCAAGCAATGTATTGTATGATTTACATTGTTTTATCTGCGCCATTAGACAACATTTTGTTCTTAGTCAGAGTAAAGATGCCCTGTTTACCAAATTTCGTATTTCACCTGCAACGGTGCGTAAATACCCCTATTAATAGTTCGTAAAATACTCGTACTCAAATCCGAAAAATGTTCGTACTTTTGGTAAATTTCTCGAAAAACACGTAAAATATGCAAATATCTAATTGCGTAAAATTTTGGAAAAATTGTACGGGAATTTCTCGTAAAATTTACTTAAAACTTTAAGTTAAAACAAATTTTTTTGTAAAATTTTTCGAAAAATTTTCCGAAGTTTTTAATATCTATATATGTCATTGTAATGGGTATTATTAAGTGCGTAAAAGTTTTTGCCGGGATTTTTACTTTTTCGAGATTAAAATTAAAGTATTTTCACACCAAACGTAATGAGGTGTGAAAATACTTTCATTTTAATGAAACTACATTAGATGCCACTAGATGGCTCTAGTAGTGCTCAGTTTAAAATCTATGTACGTTTTTACAAATTTTTCTTCATAATATTTTCTAATTTACATAAAGCTTTAATAAACTTAATTATCTGTTTAATAGTTTTTTCATTTGCATCAATTGTGAATATACTCACAGAATCGGGAGGGGGGTTGAATCTTTAAATGCTCAGAGCAAGTTGTTTACAATTAAGATCATACTTTACAGGATCATTTCTGTAGTATGATTGACAAGTTTCCTGTCTGAAACTTGAAATCTTACTTAGCCATGATGATGAGACACTTGGCATGTCCAGAGGGTGATTAAGTTACTTTATCGCCCTGTTGTAGGGTGATAAAGTACCTTTTTCGCCCTACTAAGGGAAATATCAGGTGTGATAAATTCTCTCAAAATTGAATAAAATATTTAAGAAAATTTTACAGAAACTTATAGAAAATTTATTAAATATTTAAGCAATATTTTCGAAAAATTAAAAAAATTCTAAATATTTAGGTAAATTTTACGCAAAATATACTAAAAATAATTAGTAAATTGTAGTATTCTCTTACTACTCAAAATGTGCAATAAATTGGCAAACTTAAATTAGCAAACTTTGATAAGATCACACTCCAAGTTATTCTACTTGTATAAGATCAATTATCTTTGCAACCTGACAACATTGCAGATCGGGTTATTTCCATCACTCGGACCTAACCCTCATGCAATGTTGTTATCTTTGCAACCTGGCAATATTATACTTCGGGCTATCTCTATCATGCAGAGTAAACCTTTATATAATTATTTGCCCGTGCAATAACTAACACCCAAAGTAATAAACATGTTTTCTATAGTGTCAATACATTTATTTACATAATCATAAATGTATACATACTATTAGATAGAGATAACTAGATGGTTTAACGATCAGCCATGGTTCCTTTACAACTTAGGTCCATTAGTAGCTCCCTCAGTTAGTTTATCCAATCTGAAGTGTAGAACTACTATATTTGCTAATCCATCCATCATGTATTTATCATCTCTATTCCAGGTATGCTGGTCAGCCCGCTCCTGTAATCTATGGAGCAGCTTCCCAACCTGGACATAAATCCTGGAGCATACCTCATCCCTGTTAGCTTCGGGATGAAGTCTAAACTCCCGCTCCCAGGCCTTCCTTGCATCCCATGCATTGACGTTGGGATCTACAAGGGGCTCTTGGGTGCTTGTGTCCTTCATAGTAGAGGACACCATACTCTCCAGCTCCTGGTTCAACTCTGCTAACCTATCCATCACCTCCTGCATGGTTCGCACCAGGACATCAGTCTCCTCCTCCATATCTTCATCTTCATCTAAATCAGCTTCATTGATGTAAGCTGGATTCGTCTTCTTCTAAGTAGCTCGTCCAGTTAGGTTCCCTCTGTATGCTGTATGTGCGCTGTATGTAGCACAGGCCCTAGAACGGTAGTGGCAGACGGACGTGTATAGTTACGTGTCTACTCTTCTAAGGTTCGGGCTGTACTGATCCATGGCATCCAGTTGTATTCAAGGGACTGTTCACTCTTATTGAGAACAATCTGAGATACAACAAAATCTTACGGGATTTTATTTGAAAATTTTGTTAAAAAAAGGGATCGTTTCTACGTAAAATTTATGTCTTTCATTTGCGTAAATTTTACTAATTTTGACCCAAAAATACGTGTAATTTTCGAATAATTTTTGAAATTTGGTAAATAGGGTGGCTTTTATCAAGCAATGACCTAAATTTAAAAATTAATAAGAAGATAAAAAAGATAATATTTTACGAAAATAAATATATAAATCTTTCTTTCTTTCTGGTGAAAAGTTATAATTTTTGTTTTCTTTCATTTCTTCTCTACTTTTAATTATATGACATGAAAAATGTTCTCTATATAGGATGATCCAAACTAACCCTCCCTCTTCAAATTTAGAAAAACTTTCTAAAAACATTTCTTTTTGCTTTGTTAAACTATCTCTTTCTTTCCCAAAGGCATTTTCCCAAGAGCGACTTCCAAAGTGACAATTTCCCAAGTAGCCACTTCCCAAATGTTAGGAATTTAGGATTAGGCCTTGCTGCAAAGGGATGAAGCGCTCCGGCTAGGATGTGTTAAAGTTGTAAAGTTGCTGCTTGGGAAAAAGCCTTAGAGAAAGTACCTGACTTCGCACAAACAATACCTTAAAATTAATTAACTGAAAATGTTCAAAAATTTCAAACAATTGACTACAATTGAACAGGTACATTAGTGGAAAAGGATATCATGTCTAGGGTTGTTAATCGTTTTTAAAAACGATCGAAAAAAAAATTGTCTTTCGTTTTGTTTTTATTTTAAAAACCATCGTTTCGTTTTTAAAAAAATACGTTCGTTATTGCAAACAAATCACTCGTTTTGATTTTCAAAAAAAGAAAAACAATTTTGAAAACGACATTTTATTTTTTATCTTCAAGGAAAAGAAATTTGAATATTAACTAAAAAGCATTTAATTTAGAATCCATTAACAAGGTTGGTTCAATTGGAGTTTTTAAACGCCAATAGGTAATTTAATTAAAGGAAGTGTTCGCGATAAACGAAATTTGTGTTAAGATAATATTTCGCTGCCGCTGGATTTTCGAACGTTTCCAAAAAAAGGCCGCCTCAATAACAAAAAACAGGAATAAATGTTTTCAAAAGTAACTATCATATCATAAAAAAATTAAAAATATATCAACTGTATACGAAATTATCGATGATTATTGGTTTTAATATCTGAATGATTTGTTTGGAATTAAATTAATTGTTTTATGAACTGAGTTGAATTTTGCAATTTTCTGAATTCTGAAATCGTTTTTAACAATTTTTTCCTTATAGACGCAACAGATCGAAGTAAGATTAGTAGCGATCAAAAGCTAATATCTTTCACCGTAAGCTTATGTCCCTTTCTTGTTCGCGAACACTCCCTTTAAAATCGGTTTTTTACTTATTCTTGACATGAAACACATAACCATTTTATGGCCGTCAAAATTATTTTCATTTCATTATGATTGGGTAAAAATGATGCCTCTGAGAGGAAAAAGTGTTTTTTTATAAACACCTTGTAGCTCCTGCATTATACTTTAACTATCAGTTTACTGAGCTTATAAATGGTAAAATGTAAATTAAATTTATTGCCTTTTATCGTTTTAATCATAACTTCTGAAAATCAATTTTTCTAACTTCTTTGAAAGTGTATCTAGGTAAATATGCAATTCTTAGATGTGTGCCTGAACTCAAAACCAGAGGAGCTACGAGGCCTTAAAGTTGTCCCAATAATATCGCATAAATTTTACCTTTTAGTTTTCAGTTTACTAACTCTGCTAGAACAGAAGAATAAAATGTCAACTCTCATTTAAAAGATTGCAAATGTCAAGAACGTTATAGCTAGGAGTTTTTGTTCTTAATTGTTATAACTGTTGGCAAACCTGATGATTTATCATGATCCATGGGAGGGCTATGTTTGAAAATTCTCTTCATAAACATGCAAATCTGCAATTTCTTATTTGATATTTCGTAATGCATCATGATGATTATCAAAGCAAATCAAATCATTTATTTCTGTTAAACATGTCTAGCAAACATAATTATGAACTTTATCTTTGCAGATTTGGTGATATTTTTTCAGGAGAGTAGAAGCATTTAAATCCAATTTATAAATTTGTCATTTTTAACCTAGAAAATACGGAGATGTGTATCAACTTTCAATTATTTGAAAGTTTACTATTTTTCTGAATAAGTAAATGATGGGCGGATTTTTGGCAACTAAACATTTGGTAACCTGAAAATTTGGTAACTAAACATTTGGTCAATTTGGTAACCAACAAATTGGTAACCAACAATTTGGTAACTTGACAATTTGGTAACCTGACAATTAGGTAACAATCAATTTGGTAGGTAAGAATTTGTATAATTGAAACTTATGTTTCACAATCATTGTTTGTATTTTTATTTGTTGCATTCAAAAAGTTATATCTGTAAAACCCGCGAAAACTGTTTGTAAACTCTGCCCTTTAGTCTTTCATAACCGCAACACTCGGCTCAAAAATTGTCTTAAACTAACCTAACCCCACAATTCGGCTATCAATTTATTAGTTTAATAAATAAGGCGCTCGGCCCAGATATTGTCTTAACCTAACCTAAGTCTTAACCCCACATATCGGCTATCAATTTATTAGTTTGATAAAAAAAGGCGGTAATCCTACACATTGGATATCATTGTATTATTATATTTAGCATTGCTAAATATGGTCGCAGTGCTCGACCCGTAAGCTTGTTCTAGCTACAGCGCTTGACCCAGAAATTGTCTTAACCTAACCTAACACAACATTTTGGCTAACAATTTATGAGTTTGATAAATAAGGCGCTCGGCCCAGATATTGTCTTAACCTAAACTAAGTCTTAACCCTACATATCGGATATCATTGCATTAGTTTTGATAAATATGGCAACAGTGCTCAGCATCCTAGCCTGTCCTAGCCACAGCTTTCGGCCCAGAACTCGTCTTAACCTAAAATAACCAAATTGTGAGGTTACCAAATTGTCAAATTGACAAATTGTTAGTTACTAAAATGTTAGTTACCAATATGTTAGTTACCAAATTGTTAGTTACCAAATTGTTATCAAAAATCCGCCCATCGGGTACAAATGTATGCTGATAATCCACATTTAAATTTAACAATTGTATTTATTTATTAAATTTACTTTGTTATTCATTTCTTGTGTTTTGTAGAACACTTCACCTTTTTCTTTCTTTTCTTCTTATTTTCATCTTTTTTTCTCTTTTTCTTGTTTTTCCTCTTCTTCTTTTTGCTTTTTCTTCGTTTACTTTTCTTTTTTTCCTTTTTCTTTTTCTTGTTCTTCTTCCATAATTTTGACATGGCTGATTTATAAAGTATGAATCCATCCTCATTAGCTTTTTTAGCATTAAACATTTTTTCTGGGCAAATTCTAAAAGAAAGTTGCTTTTGTATGATTGGTTTTAATTTACTTCTTTAAAATCACTTCAAATTGGTTAAAGTTTTTTTTCGATTTTTACATTTGATTTGGCGCTTTTAAAATTTGCCCATTTCTAACAGTGTTAGAAATAGACTATAAATTCCGACCTAGGAACTATAATGTTCCCTGCAATAAAATATTAAAATAAAGAAATCAAAGTCTACTGTTTTATCAAGAAAATGTGTGTAATGGGTTTGATTTATCATATTGCAAGGTGCACTATAGAAATAGAATAGCTACGCTATATAATAAGTGACCGGCCCCGTGTGTAACAGAAACAATAGAGAACACAATCCAAGGGGTTTTATCTCAAGCGTTTTTTTAGTTAGATACATTTATATTCTTGGAAACACAGCGTTGTACAGGATACTCATAATTACTCGCACTTATAGTCGATTTTTCGGGAAACTAAAAACCAAACAAAGAACATTCCCGTGGTTCTCATTTTGTTCACAACTTTGAGGTTGAAAAAGCGAAGACGTTTTATCTTTTTTGAAAGTTTTAAAGTTTTTTTTAAATAAAAAACCACAGGGTGGGTTGAAAATACCCCCCTCCCCCACCCCCCACTGTAATTGGGTTAACGATCGTCAAAAGCATAAAAATTCTTTAAAATAGTGAAGACGATCCCTCCCTACCTGAAAGGTTTCCTGGGATGTGCAACCAGTTTGCATTTATAGCTCTTTAAATATTACCTGAAGCTGGGATATTTTCTCTTTAAGCAATCTGAGTAGGTTTCAGCTACCTCCTGGACAGATGTAGTGTTGTTAATCTTCTTGGATCATTAAAAAAAAAAAAAACTTCCTAGATTTGAAAACTATATTATGTTAAAGTTTGCTTTTTTTAAACTTTGCCATATCTTTATCTCCTAATAAAATAGAAATTGGAAAAGCGATTTTAACTACAGAGATAGAGCCTGTACTACGCCAACTACGCGTAACTTCTATGGGCGTCTGCCTCAGATTTATTAATGTGTACGAAAAACACATAAATCTTGAAATCTTGAACTAATCTTTATGGTATAAATAAGAATAAAATAATTAGAAAACATTTGCTACTCTTAAGAAATGTTAAATTTTGACTCAGCAAAAGAAAATAAAGGCAAAAATAACCGAAAAATGAACTAACTGAATTCACTTCTCTACACACATAAAATAATAGGTAAGAGCGGGGCATTGAAATCGAAAAATGAAAGTTCCATTGTTTTCAAAAAAATGAAAGATAAAACATGATAATAATCAATGTTTCCTTTATTTCTAAAAGAAATGCTCATCCCTAATTGTAGGATACAGTAAAATGATGATTACCTTTATGTGTTTTGGTATTGTGATGTTCCCTGGTGGATGTGATTCCATGTCTTCTTATTATTAGAAAATTATTAAAGAAACATTAATTAAATGAAAGAAATTTAAGAACTTTATATTACCTAATTTACAGAGGGATTTCTTATCACTAGCTTTCAAAAACTCTAATATGTTATTGTAGATTACATAATTTTCCTAAACATAATTTTAAAAACAAAATTCATGATTTGTCAAAGTCTTAGTTTAAGACATATGCAAAAATGGCTCGCTTAAACAATAATATTTTGTTTAACCTTACCCTTCAACATTAGTTGTAAGAATTAGAGACTAAAACAAAAGTACGATATCAGCCAGTTGTTTGTAACTAATGATATCAAATATACTCATCAATCAATCAATCAATCAATCATCAGTCATAAGAAAGCCCCATACAGCTATGTACGCGTAAAAGCCTATTCTTTGTATGTTATGGTTTTCGTATCCAATATACGTCAAAATGGCTGAATCGCTCGTTCCCAATTTTTGTGTATTCACAAGTAACCTAAGGGAAGGTTTATGGTAGATTGAAATTTCAAAAATTTGCTTCCAAAAAAATGCGATTTTCAATAAATTAAAAAATTCCACGATTTTTTTTATAAACTCCGCATACTTTTTTGTTTTTGTTTATACCTCATGAATTCTTAAATATTGAACAAGAAATTTGTTTAGCTCACCAAACATGTATCCATTCTTACACATTCCGTTGCTGAAGGTCTGATATCCTTAATTTTAATAGTTCTTTTTTCATAAGAAATTCTTTACTATTTTTTGAGCTTGAGTGTTGTTTGGGAAAATTTTAAATTCCATGTTTTGCCTCTGTTATGAAACAAATACACTTCTGAAGACACGTCATGGCATTTCTTGAAGGTCCAGAATTATATATTTGAGTAAAGTCTAAGTTTTAATTTACAAATTATAAAATGTGATTTAGAAATAATCAGATTTAGCTTTAAAAAGATAATATACAGGATAAATTATCTAAAGCAGTACCTGCCTTTAGGTGTTAATACACATGTTAATAAATGTATATTATGAAAACCAAGAAGTGCCCATAAGTGATGAATTACAAAATTATAGTTTCATAAAAATATTACCAAATAAGTTGTGTTTGATGCTATTCCCACATTTGCCTCAGCATTAGGAATAAGAATACCAGAGAAGTCTCCTTCTATTTTTAGATATTATGGTACTTTCACAAGCGGCACCATCCCATGGGTATTTTCCCAACTGGTAACTTCCCAAATATGCAATTTCCTAAACGGCAACTTCCCAATGTATGCCTTTGCTGTATGCCCCCTTGCATATTCTAACCTCAGGGCATGGCCCTCTTGTCCATCCTAACTGCAGCGTTTGGGCCCCCTTTGCAGACTGCGGCGCCTCAGAAGGCCTACCCTAACCTCTGGGAAGTTGCTGCTTGGGAAGTCGCACTTTTTGGAAGTTGCCACTTGGGAAGTCGCACTTATATATATATCAAAGTTTACATAAATAACTTAAAGAGTATAAGCTTTTAGATTGCTAGATAAAAAGTTTTTTTTCTTAGGGACATATTTAGATTCTTAAAATGTATAGAGATTTTTTTTCAAATATTGATGTCATTATTTGTGATGAAAGCAAAAACTAATTGCGGTTTCAATAAAATTACTGAGTTTGGTTGCTTGACAATGTTTATAGTTACATATGATAATAACCAGAAGAAGATAAAAAAAATGTTAGTTAAGTTAATTACCTATTGGTGTTTTAAACTCTAAATGAACCAAATTGGTAAATGGGTCCTAAATTTAGAACTATTTGGTCAAATTCTTAATTTTAATTACAAAAAAGACGGTAAAGGGTGACCCATAAAAAAACATGGATTAGCGTTTTAAATCCACAATATAATCCTAACATTTAGTTATAAATTTTGGAAAAGGGTGTTTTAACATTTAGTTATTTGGCGCAAAGCTGTGTCTATTTTAAACTATTTCTTACAGAGGCCCCAATTTGATGCCATGCAAAAAATCACCTATTTCTATTTTCCAAGACTCATTAAAGCTGTTCCAATCATTGGACTGGGATTTCTGCAACCAATATTTTTTAAGGTTTCCCTTCATAGAGTTCTGGTTGTAGAACTACATATGCACCTTGGATTTCAGAAAACCCAGAAGAAGCATCTCAGGGGTTCAGATAGATGATAATCAATTTTTTTGTTTCTCAAGCAATATTGGTAAGCTAAAGTTAACAAAAAACTTTTCAAATATTCGACATAGTTTTACACCAAATGGAAGGATCGGACGACAACAACTTACTTATATAACTCCTTCTAAAATTAAAAACTATTTATGTTAAGGCACATTTTGGAGTAATTTCAAAGGATTAATCCTATAAAGGGTCTGAATCTATGCATAGACATAGGGGGGGGCCTAGAAAAAAGCCTTAGAGAATAGGTATAGGGTTGAAATGCATGTTCTTAGCCCGATTTTTCAAGGCCAGCTCATTGAAAAAAATAGATCGATAACTTTTGTAGTTTGGGTGATAGGGAGGGTGGAAAAAAACGCAAAAAAAAGGTAAAAAAAATGTTTTTGTTTTTTTAAACAAATATCAAAGTGTGACACATGTTTCTACAACCATTTTTTAAGGGCTTTTCAAAAACATAGTTATAAAATCTGTAGCTTTATACAAAAAAAAGTTATGGGCTTTTTAGTTTTTTTTTACACAGACCGGACTTTTTACCACCCTGTACCCTACCCTTTGCATAAAAAAAAACAAAATCCTTTAAATTTCTATTTTTTAAAAGTAATAAAATTTGATGGTGATAGTGTCAAAATAGAGTGCTAGGGCAAATCAACAATAGAGAGGGAGGTGCCAAACAGCCCACCCAGCCTGTTTAGATTAAAAAGGGGCTTAAAAAATTCTGATACCTGTTCTTTTTTGGGTCACCACTCACCCTATATATCTTCTACGTTAGTATTATTGCTGTACATAAAGAACATTGTTGACAAACATAATTCAGATCGTTCAGAAAATGAAAAAATGATAGTTTTTTTAAAACGCACGAATAAAAATTAACAATTTAAAATCGTTCGAACGAAGTCGTTTTTTTCCTGAATGAACAATTTTTTCAACAGATTTGGAAATTACTATCGTTTTTTACGAACTATTTTTTGGAACAGACTTTTTAAAAAACGAAAAAAAATGTCAACCCGATCTTTTTTTAATGAACAAACTATTTTCATGGACGAACGATTTTACTGAACCAACGTTTTTACTGAACGATTGATTTTACTAAATGATTGTTCAGTGAAAAAACGAACAAAATAGATGGAAAATTAATGATAATTATGGGAACGAACTAAATTAAATTATTTGAACAATTGAAAAAAAAGAACAAAATGGGTCATTATCAAACAATGAACGAATGAAATGAAAAAAGTCGAACCTGCCCATCTCTAGCTGTAAATCTTAAATATGTCTTACCAATGAAGAACATAAGTGATGTGATATAGAGATTCTACACGATAGCTTGTTTGGGCATAATTTGTCATAAGCACTAAAATTGTAAAATTTTCATAATTTTCTTTTCTGTATGTGGGTGTTTTGCCCCTTTGTAAAGTCAAGCTGGAAAATTTCACTACTTAAAATAATAAGTACAACTTTGAGTTAGGGTAAAAAATTGGGCAGTTGATTGAAATCAGTCAATTAGAAGTCAGGTAATTTAGGATTCCAGTTTCCTTGCTTCTATGCAACTTAAAAAAGATATTACCTTGTTGAAAGGTTTCCAGCTTTTCGGAGATGTTGAAAAGTATCAAAGGACGAACTAAATAGATTGTAATTTTTATGCTATAGTCCAAAAAATTACCAAGATATTTTCATTTTACCCAGATGCACAGCATTTGAATAATCCTTTGTTTTTTCTGCAATTTTTGGCAAAGTCACTTTTTTGAGCCTTATAGCAATCTAATACAACCTAAAAATAATGTGAAGATATAATCATGCTTCAAAAAAGCTAGATTTAAAAAAGTTTTCAAAGATTTTCTACCTCCCCAAGGTCTTCTCCCCTGCTCACAAAATCAACTCCGTAATATTTCTTCCAATTCTTCTCATAGTCATCTCCAGTCAATTGTTTAATTAATTCAGGATTTACAACATTATCATTCATTTTAAAAGTATATGAGGGAACCTAAAATATTTTTTTATTTTTTATTTCCAGAAAAACAGACAAATAGAAGATTAAACAATGTTCGAGAAGGAGTCCAGATATCAATAAAGTAGGATTGTAGGATGATGCCAATTTTTCTACTCAGGAAGATAAAATTTTATCTGAGCTCCCAGAGATTTAATGATATATGAGGGCATAGCACATGGGTTTATTATTGATTCTGAGGATTTTTCAAGAATTTGCAAGTGTTAATACACAAGTTGACTTTTCAACTTTTATAAAATTGTAGATAAAAGTATTGTAAACCCATCAAAACCCAGAATTTATTAAAAAAAATGTCAAACATAAAGGACTTTGCAGTACTTCCAACAGGGCTGTAAAGAGCTTTCTATAGAGGGTAGCGTCTCCTGCATCAAGATCTCTAGTTCCTCAACTGCTTCTACAACAGATCTGTGAAGAGCTGTCTGCATAGAGCAGCCTCTCCTGTTTTAAGGTTATCTTGTTCTTCTGCTGCTTCTATACAACAGATCTGTGAAGAGCTGTCTTTAAAGAACAGTGTCTTCTGTCTCAAGATTATCTTGTTCTTGCTACTTTATCCTGAATATACCAGTTCTCCTCTGTATCCTGGATATACCAGTTTTCCTCTGTATTCTGGATATACCAGTTCTCCTCTGTATTCTGGATATACCAGTTCTCCTCTGTATTCTGGATATACCAGTTCTCCACTGTATTCTGGTTATACCAGTTATCCTCTAAATTCTAGATATCCTAGTCCTCCCCTTTATCCTAGATTATCCTACTCTTCCTGTGTGTCCTGTATATCCTAGTTCTCCTGTGTGTCCTGTATATCCTAGTTCTCCTGTGTGTCCTGGATATCTTAGTTCTCCTGTGTGTCCTGGATATCCTAGTTCTTCTGTGTGTCCTGGATATCCTAGTTCTCCTGTGTGTCCTGGATATCCTAGTTCTCCTGTGTATCCTGGATATCCTAGTTCTCCTGTGTGTCCTGGATATCCTAGTTCTCCTATTTGTCCTGGATATCCTAGTTCTCCTGTGTGTCCTGGATATCCTAGTTCTCCTGTATGTCATGTATATCCTAGTTCTTCTGTGTGCCCTGGATATCCTATTTCTCCTGTGTGCCCTGGATATCCTGGGTATCCTGTGTGCCCTGGATATCCTGGTTATCCTGTGTGCCCTGGATATCCAATTTCTCCTGTGTGCCCTGGATATCCTAGCTTTTCTAAATCTCCTAAATCTCCAGTAGCTCTGTTCATAGAACCAGCTGGAGAATATAGAGCACCATTCAATTTCTCCTGTGTGCCCTGGATATACTAGTTCTTCTGTGTGCCCTGGATATCCAATTTCTCCTGTGTGTCCTGGATAAACTAGTTCTCCTGTGTGCCCTGGATATCCTAGCTTTTCTAAATCTCCTAAATCTCCAGTAGCTCTGTTCATAGAACCAGCTGGAGAATATAGAGCACCATCTGATATATCCTAGTCTGTAGTTGGACTAGCTGGTATGGTTGCTATCGGATCAGTACCAGAAACAAGCAGAGACAAACCTCTTGGTGATGCTGATGAACCTGATGATTGCATAATAATGGGAATGAGGCTGGTGTCCTCATTTTTTCTCTGACTGGCATGTTGAAGATATATTAGTGCGATATCAGTCTAAAAGTGCAGGTCCCTAGGCCTTGGTTGGATTAACGTCTATCCTAATCAAGGTTTCTGGGTGAACTCAATCTCTAGGTTCTATATTCTGCTATGACTAAGAGAAAGAGGTGTGTAGTTTAGTATGAGTAACCATGCTTTAAATACTACAATAGCCATATCAATTCCGTTTTTGGCCCATAAACATGTTGATTGTTGAAGGCCATAAGTGTTTCTGAAAAAGATTGCTTCACCAGACCCCCGAGGACTCAAATCAAGTTTTTTCTGACAGATATCCTTTTTGAACTGTTCAATCCTTCAATCCCTCAAAAGCTATGTTATTTGAAGCCATAAGTTGTTTGTGATGTTCCATTATGTTTAATCCAAATTTCCACCCTTAGAAAGAGTTTGAGTGCATGATCTTTTCTGGTCTTACAGGCCTCTTACATGAAAGCAGTTTTGACAAGACAAATGTTTTTAATAATGAAAAAAATGCATTTAGAAGTTTCAAATTTAATCTTGAACCTGTTTCAGACATGTCTCAGTTCATTTTTTAGCAGAACGGAGTTTGTCTTCACTCTGCCCTAAGAACACAGAGGCTTCTTTCAGAAAAAAAAACGTCACTTCTGTACCAATGGTATTATAGCCAACAAACAGTCTTCACCAGTTTCTAGTCAACAATCTGTAGGCTATTCTCGGTGACACACTTGAATACGTCAAACCTCGACTATACAAAATTCAGTCACTGAAAAAAATCTTCGTCACCACGTGGAAGAGGATCCTCATGAAGACCTCGAAAAACTTGACCCACTTCACGCACAGTCGAATACAGCTGTAATAAAGGCCAGAGACCGCTTTCCTGTTTTTTAAAATGAAAATAATTTTCTTTAAAGATACAGGATATCTTTTTCTTAACCAAACCAACTCTTTGGATCCAGCCTATATTAAAGGGAAGATACAAACCTTATTTAGTTCATCCTAGCATGATATTTAAGTTATAATTTTAAAAAAACGTGAAACACGTCTTTTAAATATACTTTTATATATGTTAAAAACAAAATCAATGAACTCAAATGTGTTCCTTAAAAATCATTCCTTGGTTGTTGCATTTGCTAATAATACTGGATCATATATTTTCCACTTAGTTGGGTCTTTATCACTGTCCGGATTCAAACACCTGGAATATAATTTTTTGCGTTGTTTTGCATCTGGTGTTCAGCAACGAACATTTTTGTAAATAAAAAACAAAACTCAAATTTTCCAATTCCTATTTCTCTGCAACCTGACGGTGTAGACCTTTAATATTTTAAACTTAAATTATTTGATCTAACAGAATTCACAGTTTGAAATATGCAAGGACTACGACATTGGGTTGCAAAGATATAGAGATTACAAAACCAGGGTTAGCGCAGAGACTCATGTTCTTTGTTACCAATATTGTCAAACAGGAAAATTAACTTGTTTATTGAAAAAAACGAAAACAAATTCAAGGGCGTATAAAGGGGAAGGCAAGAGGGGCAGTGCCCCACCGTAGACCTGTAAATCAGAGTTTTCACACTTTTCTAATTTTAAACTCATAAGAGTGAAAAACATAAACAAATTAGTTTGCTGTTCATTTAGTGCACTAAGAGGAAAGTATACGTGGACCAGAGCCACCAGAGTCCCCCGCTCGTCTTACTTTTCAAAGATATCTAATATCTATGACCAGAGAAAAAGACGATTTATCGTTTAGAATTCCAGCGGTAAGGTTTGATACCTTTGCGTAGATACTACTTAAAAGTTTTTCAGTAACAACAGCCCAATACATCTAAAATTATCATATTTCAATGAAATCATGTTTCAGCCATTATATAATAAAATATGAAAAACTTTTGATTTTAGTATTAGCAAGAAATTAACGTTTTTTGTGTTCAAACATGATTTAACATATTAACATGTTTATACAAAGACGACTTTCTTCTCAGATAAACCGGTTCCTAGATTCCAACTCTTCAGTTAATCACAGGGATTTTTGGGAAGTAAGGAAAGCAAATCAACCCGTCAAATGTTCAAAATAAGTTATATTTTGAAAACATACAATTTTAAAGTAATTTTTAAAAAAATTTAAGATATCTACGGTTAATTATTAGATACAGCCATTTAATTTATTATTTAAAAATTTCAGAAAATTAATGACTATGACAAAAACATCAATTAGTGTGAATGCAAATGTATCAAACCTTTGCGCTGGAATTCTGAATGATAAATTGGCTTTTTCTCAGGCCACAGTTCACGTGGATTTAATGGATCTGACAATATTCCAGAAAGCTATGACTTTCGATTCCAATTTCTCCTATTAATCACAACTTTTTAGCCTTCTTTTTAAATACTTTTTTAAATACGTTTTGAATAAAAGTATTAAACAAACAAATTCGTAAGTTTAAATATTGTTAAAATATAAACCAAAACGCGTATAATTTTAAATAGAAGAAACCGAATGCCTCTAACTCTGGTTAGTCCGGGGTGAGTTGTCTTTGAAAAGTAAGACTAATACCAATGAATAGCTAATAAGTTATTTAGTTTAACGTCAAATTACCCAAATAAGTGAACGGTCTCTTTAAGTAACCGAAATGCTTTTAAATTTAATGTGTTGGACAGCTTAGTAGAGATGGACATCATTTTTGAGAAAGAACAAATGTTGTAAAACGATCAAAATTTGTTGTTTACAGTTAGATATTGTTCAGAAAAAAACGAATGATTGACGAACGACTTGGATCATTCAGAGAAAGGAAAAAAATCATCATTTATTAAAAAAAAGAAAAAAGAAAAAAAATTTTAAATTGTTCAAACTAACTTGAAAAACGATTGCTTATAATGCACGAGCGCTTTTTTTGAAGAAAAAAAAAACCAAAATGGGTGGTTCATGAATGATAAATTCAAACAAAATGAAAAATCAGAAAGCCCCATTTCAACCCCTGTATCAACTGTTATTATTACCTGTAATCCCCTTCTTTTGCACTCAGCAGAAAGAAAAGTTCTTTTGCCTGTCCTAGCCCAGGATCATTGGATACATTCACAGTCTGGTTTTCAGGATTGATGGAAGAAAAAAAAGTATGAACACCTGTCATAATAATTGTTTTATCTAGACAAGACAGAATATTGCTTTTACTACAAACATTTCAATTAACATTAACCCAATTTTTAAACATAAATTTTATTAGCTACAAATTTTGATGTTTAACCCCCCCGGCCCCCACCCCACTCTATTTTCTTATTGTGATACAAATCTATAACATTTGATACATTTTTGAAAAGCCCTTGGGCTCTTCTTCAATAATCTGCAAAAATAATTGCAAATTTGCAAATCTGATTATTAAGCAAAAATTGTGCAAAAAAATGTGCAAATTGTAACAAATTATATTTTTTAAAAGCCTTTGACCCCAGCGATACCTTTTTCGCCTTCCTTTACAGTACACATCAGTAAAGTACAGCAAAATCTGCATTCATGACAAAATGCATGATCTCGTCTGTGTTACAGTCAGTAAAAAAGAGCATAAAATATGTTTTAAAAATCTTTTTTAATTAAAAAAAATATTGCATACTTTTCTAAAACTTTTTTATCAAACTGTCCTAACACAGCATTTAAAGAATCCTCCTTTCTTATCGCACTGCTTGGCAAACTCGGAGTTTTCATAATTCTTGCAATCAGATTGGCAAATACTGGCATCATAACCTTAATTAAGAGAAAAAGACAGGATCAATCATAAAATCAGAAACATTTTCTTAAATTATTCCATTTTGTCTAATCTAAAATAACATTTTGTTATATTATTCCATGGTATATTTAGCATTTTGTCTAATTTCGTTGACCTCTTTTTAAAATAACATTTTGTTATATNTCATTAATCATATTTAAAAAATTAGATTGAAAAGTCATCTGATTAATTGTAAATTAATGCCGGGTCTTTACGACAGTCGCAGAAAAAAAATCACTACTCTTTTTTGAATTTTGTTAAAAAAAAGTTTTAATCAAAAAAATAAATTGTTAAATTTTTTTTGGCTCTTTCTGATTATGCATTTAAATCTTAATCATTACTCATTATCATCAGTACAAAAAATAACCTGATTTTTTATAAAACTTTTTAATTCTACAACTGCCATATCCTCCCTCTCAAATCCAGATTTAACACATGTGTGTTTATAAAAACAACAGGTGGTCATTTTCTCACTCTTGCAGTACAACAGTTCTCCTGCCTTGTTTACAAACACAAAATTACTGTCAGAAGTAGTTGTATCTTCATTTTTCTTAATTACAGAAACTAGAGATGTGCATCTTTTTTTGTAAACGCAACATTGTTGAGAACGAACTAATATAATAGTGAACGAAAAAAAACGAACAATGGACGAACGATTTGGATTTTTCAGCGAAATTAAAAAACTATCGTTTCTTATAACTTACCAAAGAAAATCCAAATTCGATACTTAAAAAACTACTCGTTTTTTGTGTACAGAATAAAAGAAACGATAGTTTCAAATAAACGAACGGTTTTATTAAACAAACTTTTAAAAAACGATAGTTTTTTTTCAAAAAAAAATATTTTAGAAATATTTTACTTGAAAGATGTTTAATTCTGAATAATCGTTTAGTGAGACAAAGAATGAAAGGAATGGAAAATAAAATATGAATTTTTTAATAAAATAACGAAAAGCGTCCATCTCTACAGAAAACTAACTATACGTAGTGCAGAAATGTGGAGAAATTAAACAGAGTATTAAAAATAAATTTAAAATAATTGGCTTCTTATTCTCTCTTGGAAAAATTGCCAATTATTTGATCATTTTTAATTGATTTGTAAATATGTCACCTCTTTTATCATTCTACATTTTTTTCCTAATTCTGTAGCCAGTTTCTGTTTGCATTGATCAAAGACCTATATAAATACCTTAGTTTGGATTACCGATTGGTTTAGTTGCAAAAAAATATGAAAATTATTTTTTCTCATTATTGGCCACTGAGGGCCAAGGGCACACTAAGATATTACTGAAGAACTATCTAAAACTGACCTGAGAATCACTAAAGTCTCCAGACACACTGGCACATCCTCCCTAAAATAACAAGAGTTCTCATGTAAACAAGATTTTGTCTGTTTTCGATTTGATGGTTTATGTCTATCGGAAACTTTGAAACAGAATAAATCAATTATATCCAAATTTTTGACCTACAAATTTGACCTAACGAAACATTTTTCTCACGTCAAAATTTCAAAAAATATTTTCTAAAAATGTTTTACTTTTGTTTCATTTATATTACTTTAATGTCTTTGTATAAAAAGGCTTGCATAGATATATATTCGCAACAGCTCAAATCCATTTGTATAAAATCCATGACAGTGAATCTAGTGAAATTTTAATTTGTAATGTTTTCAGAAGCAAATGTCTGACTTACATCATGGTCGTCTTTGTTAGAGGTTAGTTTGACAATCAGGTCTTCTTTCATGCAGTTTTTATCTAGATATGCCTATTATCCTGATTTGTCTAGCGTGTTGCTGTTTTCCGTCAACAACATTACAATGAATTTGTAGTTGAATTGAACTATAAGAGAGCATTTTAGTTTCTACATTAAAAGGCCAGACATGAGACAGAAATGCGCTTCTGAAATTAAACTTGTTATTAAGAAAACAAGATACTTTACTAAATCTGGATTATATGAGATACCAAACCAACAGTGCTAATCTAAAAGAACCGGAATAATTTTGCTTCTTTGTTATTAGAAATACAGCTGAACATTCTATTATTTGAATCAAATCATCACTATATATATGTATCTCTTATAACTCTGTGCAGGACAAACATAAGCTTTTAGAAGCTGTTGACGTTAACCTACTGTACAGTGAAACCCTTAATAAAGAATACATCGAAAGAATTCATTAAATGTCGTATTCTTCACTTTCTGATAATGGAATGTTGCAGATATTTAGTTTCTTAATTGAATAATTATATGGAACTCTTTAAAACTGTTCCCGCATATTCATGGCTATTTAATTATTATCGCAAATACTGAAATTTACGTAATATAGAATAAAACTCTTTGAAAAAATTGTCAAGACGACATTTGATAAATTCTTCCGATGTATTCGTTATTAAGGGTTTCACTGTAGTGTTTCCATGATTTACTGAAATATGGAAGGGGTAAAAAGGAGAGGAAAAAGAAAATGACAAGACCTTTTTTTACCCTTTTTCTTTTATTTCAGATAAACTAAAATAAAATATGAAGATATTAAGTTCCCTGTAAATAGATTGTTGTTTATCAACAATAAAAGAACAACATGTATTCTCAATCACATCGAGGGTAGGATAGCAAATTGCAATTTTCACATTTACAGTCTGAGCCGCAGAATTCGCGTTCCTACCTATCTTTACATGCTTTTAGGATGAACTGTTCAAGGTCTAAAAGCTTTTTAACTTTTTGGTAATGTTTAGACATAATAAAAAGTTAAATACATGAATACATGCAGAATTAAGTTAAGTGGTGGTTTGATATAACTAGAAATGGGCACTTTCAACTTTTTTTATTTCGTTTGTTCGTCATTCGTGAATGACCCATTACGTTAGTTTTTTTCAACTGTTCCAAAAAGAATTGATTTCGTTTGTTCTTAAAATTATTGTTTATTTCCCATCTATTTTGTTCGATAGTTCAGTAGAATTGTTCGTTCAATTTAAATCGTTTGTTTAGAAAAAAAATATAGTTTTTTTAAAAGTTTGTTCCAAAATATCGTTATTTCAGTCAGCAAACTATCGTTTTTTAAACAATTTAAAATCCTTTGTTTTTGTTCTTTTTGTTCGTTTTTAAAAAATCATCATTTTTTCATCTCTCTGAACAATCCATTTCGTTCGTCCATTGTTTTACAAAGATTTCAACAGCATGCTGCCCGCGATAGAGCATACACTAATCAGAAAATTTGTAGTGATAATGTTAATAACGATTAAATGATTTTTTTACTACCCCTAAACAGGGGGCGTTTTTCGTCCCCCTGTAGTTTTTTTTTGTCCTAGCTCTCTCATTTTTGACACTATCACCGTAAAATTTTGTGGATTTTAATGAAAAGAAATTTAAATGATTTTTTGTAAAAATTATTTTTTTAATGCATATGGTTGGGTATGGTAAACTTTTCTTTATTCCAGTTCTTTCAAAACAGCACTGTATGTTTAACGTTTCAAACTATTACCTCCTAAGTAATCATCGCTCCAGTAATCGCTACTTCTGGAGTCAACTTGAAAACTCCATTCTATCAGAAGAAAAATAACACAAATCAACATCACATAAAACAATTATATTAGTGGATATGTAAAAATCCAGAAATAAACTCCATTTTCCATTATCTAGGATGAAACTGGATCTATTATCTAATTAAATATATTGATGTAAATTACTCGTTTTACATATTAGACAGACAATTTATTAAAATCTTAAACTTTACTCAATTAAATTCGATATTAAAAATACATGTAAATACATGATACATGACATGCTAGTTAAAATTTAATTCAAGCTAAATATTATAAGCTTTCATTTTCAGAACATTTCTAAACTTTAGTGAATAAAATTTAAATTTGTCCGCAAAAGATTAATTACAACGAATGAGCATGTATAACTTAAACTTAAACACAATAATTAATGTCACAATTAATTATGAAATAAGTCTAGTATGGCCACCTGGCGGACACCCCGATCAATGACTTCTGCCATTCTGTCTCTGCCCGCAATTATTTTTCATCTCCACTTGCTCAAATTATTTTTTATTTACCATTTAAGGCTTAACCGACCAAAAATCAAATATATCTCTTTTTATAGAATCCACATTAGTTAAAAGAATCGTTTAATCCACAAATTTCAAAGATTAATTATTTTATTTGATCATAATCATAAATGGTTTTCTTGTGATAAAAGTCTACACAAAGAAAACAATAAAAATACAGGGGGGGGGGGTCCCCCAGCCGGAATAGGGTTAACCGAAACAAATTTTCAACATTTCCGGCTGGTTCCAAGGGGAAAATGACAGAGGTAAGGAAAAAAATGTTGCTATTTATTTTATATTGCAAAGGCTAGCAATTACAGAGGCAGAAGATATTTAAGTTTAACCCAAATAAAGTTTGACATCATTCTCATGAGTTTGAAGATTCCAACATCATGAAATCATTGCAGTACTTTCGTCTATCCATATTTTATGACCTATCGTAGCCAGATTTAAAAAACATAGTTTTATCTTCAAAAATTGGATTCGAGGTGGCTCGGACGAGAAATTGTTGTGGCTGGCCTTTTTCCTCTCGTCTGAGACTCTGTATTCAAACTATATCTGACGAATGCTAGCATTTAGCATTATTCACAAAAACCAAACAGCATTAATTTTAAGATTAAAAAAACAGTTATTAGAAAAACCTTCTTCTTTTCACATTTATCCTGTTTTAGTTCTTCTTTCTCTCTTGTACAAATACCTAAATATCCTTAAGTTTGACATCCTTAGTTTAAAAACACATTCTCAATCTCATAAAAACAAATATTCCTTTTCCAGTTCCCGATAACATTAAGCAAAGGAATTGATTCTTTACCACAAAATCAAATTTTCGAATGACTATATATTTGCAACCAGATGGGGAAATCCTATGAGATTTCAAACTTCGATTATTTTATTTAACAGTATTTATAGTTTAAAATATCTTAGGTCTAGGATTGCAAAGATTTTGATTTTAGATAATCAAAGTTTGTGTGTGGCAAAAGCTCAATTCCTTTGAAATCATAATTCCTTGAGAGTTGACCCCAGCCACTACACACGAAAAAATCATATACAACGATCTTTTCCAGCGATCCAGATTATTTATTTAATTTTCTTAAGAGAGGGGGGAGGGGCACAAAATCAGGCAATCCCGCTTAATATTTAAGGGATGAAAAATATAGATGGAAATGTTTCTGAAAAATTATCTATATTTTCATAGGATTAATGCATATTGTATTATAAATTATGATATCAAATATTTCCATTGAAGACAGTATTGATTAAAGCTTTTTTAATGAAACTTTTTTAGTTTTAGCAAATGTACGTTTTTATGTAATTAATTTAAAATTTATGAATGATAAATACATGCATAATTTTATGAAATTAATTCCATTCCGCAACATCACAATATCATTATTTATTTATTCATTTCTGATTAATTTGTTTTTTCCTCCTCATTTCCTTAAAGCATCCAAATCCACTCTACAACATCATATTTGGTGTATTGTATACCAGGATGTAGGAACAACAAGGGAGGTAGATATTACAGACGATATAAGCCAGGGTTACCCACTACCCAGAAAGAATATCTATTTATGCAACTGCCTTGTGTTATAATACGGATCATTATATTTTTGCCGGGATTATTGCTTAATTTAGTTTGTTTGAAATTAAATTCAAGCCTTTAAATTTAAAGGCTTGAATTTTAACCATGAAATAATATCCCAGAAGATTTTCAAATTACAGGAAAATACACGTAAAAATGATTTTCTCAAAATGGAATAATGCTATTATTACGTACATTTTTTTTGAAATAACTTGTAACATATGTTTTTTTCAGTAATCTATTTAACAAATAAAAGTTATATTAATATTTTATTTTCACAAAAATATGGCCAACCCTGGTGGAGAGAGGAGAGTTTGTGGAATTTGTGAGACTCTCATGTTGTTTTGCTCTCCTAGTAGCATAGTCAGGTCCTGCAATCCTGTTTCTTTGTGTCAGGAACGCAGCAGTCTAGTTCACAAATTCTCCGCTCAATTCTGCGCGGCGCTAAAGGTACACATTCAGTGACTTTCTTTAAGATTAGTAGAGAAAGGAATAAAAAGCCGTACGCCGGCGGACAAATTACAAAATAAATCATATATATATTGAGGAATCAACCCCCATGTAGGATTGTCAAACAAAAAACGATCGTTAAACAATCTTTTTTTGTTTCTTTTTTCGATCGTTTTCAAAAATTGTTTTGTTTTCTAAAAAAAACGAACGTTTTTATGTAAGATATTGTTTTTTAAAAAACGATCTTTCTTTAAAAAAATGTTAATAAAGAATAACTTCGGTAACGAAAGGACGTAAATAATGATCGTCAACGAAACGACTAGCTTTACAAAAACATCCTTTTGAAAATCGATTGTTTTAAAAAACTATCGTTTTTAAAAACAAACTTTTTTGCAAAACGATTGCTTCGTTTTCGTTTTTAAAAAAAAATGAAAACGTTAACATCCCACCCCCGAGTCTGAAAGATATTATATTCGACGATCTCTACAATCATCTGCTATCTTCTTTCTTCTAAAATCCATCAATGTGTTGTTTTCTTTTGACTTAAGGATCTTTTATTTTCAGTCCAAATTGTCATATATTCCAATTTCATTCTTTTTTTTCTATAATGCTTCGATTTTTTTTTGATTTTTCTTCTAACTTTTTTCTTCCTATATCTTAACTTTCTTCATCATACCTTGCTATCTATTATTTATATCTATGCAGTCGAATACTTTCGTACTATATTTTCATGTCTAAAAAATATAGCTTAAATATCTTTATCATACAGTGAAACCCTTAATAACGAATACATCGAAAGAATTCATCAAATGTCGTATTCATTACTTTCTGATAATGGAATGATGTAGATATTTAGTTTTTTAATTAAATGATTATATGGAACTCTTTAAAACTGTTCCCGCATACGGCATATTCATGGCTATTTATTTATTTTCGCAAATACTGAAATCTAAAACTCATTGAAAAATTAACAAGACGACATTTGATAAATTCTTCCGATGTATTCGTTATTAAAGGTTTCACTGTATATTATATGAATCTTATATATATATATCTTAAATATATTTCAACTTCTGTCTTTTATCTTCTATCTTCTATTTCATATTTTTCTAACTTCTATTCATTTATTTTAGTTCTTTCTTTAACCCCATTTCAACGTCAGGGGGGGGTCCCCCCCCCCCCAAAGTTTTTTGAAGATAATTCAAATTATAGTATTGGTCTGATGAGGGTGTTTAATTTTTTGACTTTTCTAATTAACACATATGCCCCTCACTTTTGGTTCAAAGCGGGGCTTTTAAACCTACTGCCTGAGCACTCAGCCAGGCTGCCAAATACCTTATTTTACCTTATAAGACAAAATCTATATATATACCTACTTCCGGTCATTGGATTTAGACATTTTATAGCTATTCGGGAAGCGTTGAAATGTTTTGCGAACAATTGTAGAACTGCAGATTTTTGCACAGACGCCGATATTTTTGGGTAAAAGAGAAGATTTCAGGCTGAATAGGGTTAATTTCATTTTATTGATTATTGAAAGGTTTGGCCCACCCAGAAGAGGTCCAATTCTAAACTTGGCTTTTGATAATAATTATTGCAGTTTGATTCAACGTGATTCGTATCGATTGCTTGTAATGTCGTGCAGTTAATATTAGATTTTTGGTTTCGCCTTGTCCACATTAATTTGATTTTATTTGATTGATTTGATTTTGCACTTTTGCAAATATTGCTAATTATACTAGAGTTTGGCACTAGGATTAGAACAGATTTGAGCTGAAAGTGCAGTTTTTCAGAAAAAAGTTTTACGTTTCATTTCATACCAATGAGACATGTTTACGGTGAACAATTTCTAAATATGAGCATAAAGTCGTTTGTTATATTTCAGCCAGCAGAAGAAAAGTTTTTTACAATTACTTAATAACCCGGAGAAAACATGTTAAAAAAATGTATAAACTAAAATTTGCTGTTCAGGAACTTATTTCTTTAAAGGAATTATCGTTAAAAGCCACAGTACAACCTATAGTATTGATAATTTCATTATCATATTACCTTTGCTGTTGTTATATTTTTTTTCGCAGATTTCTTTAAAATGTCGTCTTCACTTTTAAAATAAAGAAAACCTCCAACTCCTCCAACTAGCGACCATGGCTGAAAGAATTTGCATAAACCTGCGAGATTTTAAATGAATTTGCATAACTTATTTCCGATGATAGAAGTTCATTACTGTTTTCAACCTGTTTGCATACACGAAACTTGCAGTTTGTAGAATAGTATTTGTTACTTGTTTTGTCCATGTTATTTAAGAATTGTAAAAACAACGTTTTTTTGCTGACTGAAACAACTGGTGTTATATTATAAACGACTTTACGCTCTGATTTAAGAATTGCATACCGTAAAACTGTCTCACTGGGAGCAAATGAATCTTAAAGATTGTTTCTATTCAATACTGCACTTTGTGTTCAAATATGTTAAATAACCTCTCCATTTAAGCCAATTTCTAGAAAGGTTTTTGGGACTTTTAAATGGCACTATACAACAAATAATATTGCAAAACTGTATTATGTAAAAGCTTTAACGCTTTGATGTTTTAAACTATTATTCTGCAAA